ACCACTGTTCTCTGTGGTTCACTGTAGAAAAATTTCAGCTTTTGGCCCAGACATCTCCTGGGCTGTGTATCCTTGGGAAAGTTATTGCCCTCTGAGGTCTGACTGTCAACCCTCCTCTCCCAAAACTGAGACCAGGGTAGAATTGGGAATTTTTTTGGAAACTTCAAAATGTTAGGTGGGTGTAAGGTTTTAAGCAGAAAGATACTGTTTATTTGTTAAGCAGTTAGGGCAGAGAGCTCCTGGTTGATAAGAGGATTATCTCTGTTATTTTTTAAAGGACACAGGGGAGCCACCATCAGACGCCATGGGGATCTGGGAGCCCCTGGCTGTTCTATAGCCTCGCAGTAAACAGTTGGCGTGGGGTCAGGTGGGATCTCAAAGTCTCTGCTGAAATGTGCGGTCAGTTGTGTTCCAGGTCAACTCACCAATCATTAGCCACGAATACCTGTTTGTTCTGCCCCAGCCTGGAATTTGGCCTCTTACAAAACCCCAGCTTCAGGAGATCAGGTTGGGCCAAAGTGTGTAAAGGTGGCCTCCCAGGAAGATGCTGTGGGCTTGCTCAGCAGGCTCCAAGCCACGCCCACAAGCAGCCAGCTAACCTCTGTTGACACCTCCGAGGGCTGGGCTGGGACTGACCCCCAGAGCACCCCTTCCAAATCTGGGTGGCTCCACAAATTGTGGTGGAAGGCAGGGCACCATCGTGACCACAGCAGTCCTTTGGCTACGTCACCCGTGATTGAGTAATCTCAAAATTTCTCTCATGCAAACAGAAGTTGGGACTCTGTTCGCAGAACTGCGAAAATGGAGTAGCCACCAGCTGTATCCATCCACCTGCCATTTAAGACTTCACCCCTCTGCCCCTTCCTTGGGAGAATGAAGGTGGCGCATCCAACAGAGGTCAGAGTTGTAACATAGATTTTGAAGAACACATGCACTTCTGGTGGCATTCATGGATGGAAAATGCTGAAAACGGTCTCCCTGGCCACCCGTGGTCACTTGATTTGCTCTGATTTACCAGGGGGCGCAGCCTTGCTACTAAGTTAGTCTGGCTCTTGAGCCTGTCTGATAGAAACAGTCCCCTGTGTTTCTGTGTTCAAAGTTTGGACAAACTGGTGTTTTCACATTTAGGGTCTATCGCCATTTGTCTGGCCACTTTTCTAACTACAGTGTTGGGTAATGCACCTTGAGAACAAGGCTATCAGGGCTGAGCAGGGTGGCACACACCTTTAATCTCTGTACTCATAGGCAGAGGAAAGAGGCTTTCTGAGTTCAAGGCTAGTCATGGCTACACAGTGAGACCCTGTCTCAAAAAAAAAAAACCAAGTAATAATAATACATTTTTTAAAAATAGAATAAGGCAATTGGGCTCCAGCAAATGTAGGAAGTGAGTGTATTCATATGGTATCTTGGGTTAAATAGCTGAGCCTGCTTGGGGTCAGGGGTAACAGAATAGGTACCCCAGTTTCCCATCTTCCCTTCAAATTTCCCTAAGGACTGGGTGTTCAGAAACCTCATCAAGGCAATTTTGGGGGAAAGTTCGATCTCATTTTCTGAAGCTAAAGCTAGCTAGCTGTTTGCTGACTGTCTTCAGAGATCTGCGTCAGGTGGTGTCGTCTTCAGGGGTCAGCTGGAGAACAAGGGGCGGTTCTTGACCTGGGCTTCCATGTGTGGCATAAGCCCCAGTAGACTTTGAGACTTTCTTTTTCCTCTTCCCTACCTTCTGCCAAGAATAGTCTGCTCTATGTAGCCCCTGCTCAGCCATTACCTGCTAGAAATGAGTATTCTTAGGCCCCACTCCAGACTGACTGAATCAAACATTGGGGTGAGGCCGGCACTGAGTGTGACAAGCCTTAGTGGAGGGGGAGAAAGCTATAGTGTCCAAACACAAAGGCAGGGCTATCTCAACTCCCGTTCCTCATGCTGTGTGGGAAGCGGTCCCCACAGTGACAGCAGGTCCTATGAAAGCAGCACAGGAAACCCCGCACTGGAAGAGGAGCCCATGTGGGACCAGCCACAAGGCTGGAAGACACCCAAGGCCATCAGATGATTCCTGAACCCAGGTGGCAACTGCTCACCCTTGCAGTCCCGTGTCATCGTCAGCTCTGCCACAGGTTGATGGCTCTGCCTTTAAAGCCCACAGCACCATTCATGCTTTCAGGAGGCTTCCTGCATCTGCTTACCCATTCCAGATTAGGTTCCTACTCCGTGCCAGCCCCTAGCTGGGCACTGGGGGTAAACAGATAAGTAACAACTGATTGTCACTCACAGGAAACTCACAAAATAGTCAGCTTGAGCCTCGGGGAGCATTGCAGCAAAGCAGGGGCCCTTGGAATCCTTGGGAACTAGTGGGAGTGAACTGCTGCAGGAGTGTTGGGTTTCCCCAGGGTGGCAGCGACTGCTATTTCTTCATTGTTGGCTTTTCTGGAAGCCACATTTCCACTACTTTTTTAAATACTACCATGGCATTTTTTTTTTTAATCAGCTGAGTTCTGATAGACACAGCAGGGTAACTCCGAGTCATCTCTTAGGGATGAGGATGTAAGGGCGCTTGGGGAACAGAAATGGATGACATACGAATTTGCAGGGCCTGCACTCATGGAGCCTGCATGTCTGCTTGGGCTTCTTGCTTCTTGAACAGCTCAGTGTTGGATCTGTTAGGAATGTCTTTGGTTGCAGGTAACTGAAGCATAAACCAGCAGCTTATTCTCCTCAGCGATAGCAAGAGCCTAGAGCAGGCAGTCGGTAGGTTAGGTCCAGAGACTTCCAAATGCCAGGCCAGTGACTCAGACTCCCTTGGCCTCTTTCCTCATGTTTATCTCTCGGAATCACATGATGCCAGCCAAGGCTGCCTGGTAGCACAGGTCTGTAACCATTGCTACTCAGGAGGGTGAGGCTGGAGAATAGCATGTTCAAGGTCACCTAGGGCTGCAGAGGGCAAGACCAGCCTGAGCAGTTTAGTGAGACCATGTCTCAGGTTAAAGAGTAAGAAGTGCTGGGCTAGGCATGATGCCCTGAGCACTTGCCTGGGTTTGTAAGGTCGTGGCAAACAAAGAACCCTTTAGCACCCTCACAGTGCCCTGTTGTAGGCAGGGTGAATAGTGGTGATGGTGGTGGTGGTGGGGGATCAGGTATTTCCAGAGCAGAGTCAACTATTTTCTGAAAACAAGGCAAACAAAAACTTCCCCAGAAACCTTTGCAGCATAGTTTCTGTTAAGTCCCACTGGTCTGAGCTGTAGGCTTAAGGCAGTGGTTCTCAACCTGTGGGTTGAGACCTCTTTGGGGGTGAATGGCCCTTTTACAGGGATCTTCTAAGACCACCAGAAAACACAGATGTTTACATTATGAATTATAACAATAGTAAAATTACAGTTATGAAGTAGCAACGAAAATAATTTTATGTTTGGGGGTCAGCACATGAGGAACTGCATTAAAGGGTCACAGCATTAGGAAGGCTGGGAACAGCTGCTTTAAGGGATGCTGGAGGAAGTGTTGGTGGCAATTACCTCCAAGTCACAGAGTCCCCAGCCAGGCTAGGCCTGCTGCTGTTGCTAGGGAACAGGAGCTGTGATGACAGCAGGAAGCTGGCCCTGGCCATTACAGTCACCAGCACCCCCTCTATTATTGTTGTCACTAGCTAGCCCACACCTGCACAGGGCATTGCTGTGGTAGTTCCTTGTCTCCATGGCGAAACAGTCCAAGGTACTCAGTACTCTAGCTATGCTATGCTGATCAGCCCATAGGAAGGACGTTGTGACATCAGACAGCCTGCCCCATGACACTAGCTCCCAGATGGGGAATGGGAGGTGTGGATAGAGGCTGTTTGTCGCTGAAGCCCTACCATTCCTGCTTTAGGACACTAACACAGAGGGATGGGCATGTCCTGGAAAAAGCAGCTGTGTGGCTCAGGCCTTGGTGGGCTCTACAGGACTCTGCCCTCAGGGTTCTCAGCTGCTGTGTTTTTGGTTGTCCCCAGCCTACTCCACAGCTGTTCAGGACTCCATCTGGGCCTATCTTCCACAAAGCAAGTTCATCACTGACTATGTGGGGCTTGGGGGAATAGAGGGAGAGGAACTGCTTCCCAGCACACACCCTGGCACCATCTCACTTCCTCTTAAGGCATCTCTTTCCAGTCTCTGTTGCTCCCTCCCTTCTTCCCAATTCCCCAGGGATTTCAAATTCTTTTGCTTCTGAGATGCAAACATTGCTATGGTTTGGGTGTGATTGGCACATATCCCCAAGGGTTCTTGCGTTAGAAGCCTGGTCTCCAGAGTGAAGACATTAAGAGGCAGGTGCCAGGGGGCTGTCAGAAGGGAGCAGGATAGTTTTGTGGTATTTTGATAGTTTTTGTGAGAGCAACGTGTCCCTCTCTGTTTCCGAGATATCTTCTATCTGTCATGTGGGTTTTGTCGCTGTCACAACGCTAAGACATAGCCAAGGATGCTGCTGCCAGAGCCATGCTGTTCAGACTTCCAGCCTCTAAACCTGGGAAGTGAAGTGAACCTCTGTTCTTTATGAAGCACCCAGATCCAGTTCCCTCATTGCAATGGTGGAATATGCAATGTGTAAATGGGCATGGGTAGCATACAGGAGCAGCTGGTATTCAAGACGAATGGAAGCTGAGGTCATGGTTTTGTTACATTTTCCTTGTTGTGGACTGCCTGGTCTAGTCTGGTGCCTAGAATGGGTCTGCTCAAGGGTGCTTGGTCTCATCTGGCTTTGGTGCAGTATGGCCACCCATCACTAAAATCCACAGGTCTTAAATCTAGCCACACTAGCCTTCCTCAGACACTTGGTGTCCCACAGTGGGCCTTTGGGAAATTGTAGATACCTCTCTCACTGTGCTCTGCAGCCCTCATTTGCCTGACTGCTTCCTTTGGCAAAGGCTTCACTGTGGTCCCTGCACCATGGTCTTGGGCAACTGGGCACTAGCCTCCCTTCCCGCCATGCCAGGGCCATGTTCTCAGTCCCTCCCTGATGTTTTCCACCTTGCTCCTTTCCAGGGTCTCCACCCACAGAGCCGGAAAAGTCGGATCCTGTGTGGCCAGTTGGTCTTGTCATCCTGCTGCCATCTTCTCTGCAGAACAGACACGAGGTGAGGAGTAGGGGCCACAAGGGGAACAGAGCCTCCTCCATCGCCTTCACTAGCTCAGGACTTCCTCCAGGTTGACCCTTTCAGGAGAGCTTCACAGGTGCTGTGGTTTGAACGTGTGTTCCCCTATACACCTGTGTATTGAAAATGTAATGCCCAGCACAGACGGTGTCTGGAGGTGTCACCTGTGTGGGATGACTAGGATTGGGTGAGGTCATGAGGGTGGACCCGCGATGGCAAAGGGCAGGAAGACACACCTGTCTGACTCACAATGTTGTTGTGTCAGGAGGGCTTCCTCGATGCTAAGCAGATGCTGGTGCCAGGTTCCTCGACCTGTAACCCATAGAAGCATGAACCAAACAACCTTTTCTCCTTTATAAATGATCTGGTCTCAGGAATTTTTTCACATCAATGAGAAATGTGCTGATACAATAGGTTGTAGCCAGCTGTCAGCAACAAATCAACAAACCCAACAGGGGCCACGCTGAAATGAAAACCAACCTACAAGACATCAGTTGTCCTCCACAGTGCTTGGGGCAGAGAAGAAGATCTCCGCGTGACAGTTGGCAACTTCCTAAAAATGAACAAACAGAATGGTCAGAGCTGGAATCAACAATGATTTTTCCTGGCACATATGATAGGCGATGAGTATTTACTCTGTTAACGGTCTGACCAGCTAGCTAGCTGTGGACGAGAAACTCGGCATCATAGCCACACTGAGTGTCAGCTTATAGGCTGAGTCCTGCTTCAGGCCACCCCCTGGCTGTCGCTCAGGAGGTAAGCTTCCTTCTCCCCAGTCCCATTACCTTCTCCTGCCTAGTGACCGGGTGCTCTCCCCATCAACAACACATTAAAACAAATTGATGTTAAGCAACAGTGAAGTTCTGCTTTTACCTAATCTGACAAACTACATAGTTTTAACATCTGGTGTCTGAGGCCACTGACAGCAGCCTGCTAGAGAGTCGCAAGAGTTGCCAAGAGTACCCATAGCCCTTGAAGCAGGGTGGAGATAATTCCCAAGAGGAAGAACTTCCAGGTGAATGTTTATTGTAGCTATACCCATAATAGCTTCAAATCGACAGCGGAGAAGTCAAATGACAGGGAAGGGTGAAGGAGAAGGCAACACCTGGAAGCCGGGTGATGTCATGCAGCCATCAGAAATGATGAGAAAATTAGGCAGTAGCAAGCATCCGGGATGCTTGGAATGTGTGCTCATCTAAAAAGGCAGAGAGTACCCCGCCTTCGTGGTCCAGGCTCATTCTGGCTGCACTGCTGCTGTTCCATGAGATGGAGTCCTCAGTATACAGAGCTCAGTAGTAGACATGTCCACATCTGCCTCTGCCTGTTCCCTGCTGCCTGGCTCTTAACAGAGACCTGCTAAATTAAGTCAACATCAGCAATTCAGCTACTGCTCACTGAGTGCCTGCAAGACAGCTGTGGTTATGACCAGCATTATTCTGCATGTATTATTTGCATTATTTCATTCTGAAATAATATATGCAATCGATACTATTCTGCCCATAAACATGAAAACTGGAGCACAGAGGTTTTGTCAAAGGTTGAAGTCGATTTAGGTTCATACACTTGTTAAGGGGAAGTGAGGCTATGGGACCTCGAGCTAAGTCTGGCTGGATTGAATTGCTTTATTTCAAGCTCTCTCTGTGTCTTTCTCCTCTCTGTCTGTCTGTCTGTCTGTCTGTCCCTCAACCCGCTGTGTGTGTGTGTGCGCTCGTGCACACGTGTGCACATGCACCTATGACTGAGAAGGAGAAAATGTGGCAAAACAAAAGTTGCTACTTTTCTCTTGAGTGGCGGGTGAATCCCTCCCTTTTGTATTTCCCTAAGTGTTAAATTACACTGCAAAGAGAGATATCCTGCTAGGTTTCAAGACTTTCTGATTTCCAGTAGCCCTACATATCTTAAAGGGAGATAAGCTGTGTTGGTTATTTAATCCCCTTTCTGTCTTCCTGTCAGGGCCAGGAGAGGACATACGGTTCCAAAGCTTGCCTGTGTTGCAGGAAGTAGCTGTTGTAAGCAAGCACACTGTAGACCAGGCCCTTTGCACACAGCAATGACTTGCTCACATCCAGGCACTGAGCTCTTGCTGCCTGTGGGAAGCTGGACTATTGTTGTCTGTCGAGCTGGCTCATCACAGGGTGCGTGTGCTGATTGAGGCGAGACACATGAGCATAAGTGGAGCATGTGCACGGCTACCATCACTATGGAAATCATGACTCTGAAGGCTGATGCTGCATCTAAGTGAGTTGAAATGAAATGCAAAGATCACATCCATCACATGGGTTCATACTGGCTTAGGTTGCATCTCATTACTGTACCTCTCTGCCTACATATTATGAATTAATATATTTAATAAATCCTGCAATTATCTTGTGAACAGTACACAATTGTATTACTCTGTGTTTTGTTTTCAGTATAGAAAGCAGGAATTTGGTAAATGTAGATGTTTAAAATTGATTTCAATTTTCCTAAACTTTGTTTAAGCATGTTTTTTTTAAAAAAAAAAGGGGGGGTACTCTAAAAAAATCCTCTGAACTTGAAGAGTCTCAACCCTTTGTATCCTGAGAAATTGAGTCTCGACACATGAGTTTAAAGGTCTTGCCTCCTCTTGGAGTACTCTGCTGTTCTTGGAGATGGGTCCTACTTTTTATACAGAAAACAAAAAGGAAATCTGAAGATGTAAGAAACAAAATCTTGTTCTAAAGATAATGGGAACTTCTATTTAAAAGCCTGCTTCTCTCCCAAACCACACAGATTCATCTATCTATCGATCGATCTATCTATCTATCTATCTATCTATCTATCTATCTATCTATCTATCATCTATCTATCTATTTATCCTGGGAAAAAAGGGGAATACATTTACAAAGACAAGGAGCATGGGAGTATAGATAGATGTCAGGCAACTCTGTAAAAGGGAAGTGAGTAGCTAAATAGTAAGGAAGCATTAATCTAATCTTTAGGAGAAAAACCAGAGCTGCTCAGAACATGACAGGAGTTAGGAGCACCCGATAGTTCTATGGCTGGGTGAGAAGTAGACAACAGTAGGGATGGCAGAAGGAGCAAGATATTCTACCAGCAGCATCACCAGCAACCAAAGTGCCATCACAGCCACCGCTGCAGCCATCAGCACCGCTGTCCACCACTGCAGCCATCAGTCCTG